CCTAAACCCTAACCCCCCCACCCCCCCCCCATCCAATGGCTCCAGGAGACCAGAATCTCCCAGAGGGTTTTGGAGAGAACCCAACGAAGCCCAGAAGCCCCTAAAAGGCCCCAGCTCCCCCCAAAACCCGCACCGGCCATGGGAACCCCTGCCAACCAAGCGTCTTTGTCAGGGGTCTTCTCAAGGTCAGCTCCCTGTTTCGGGGGAGGGGGGGGCCCTGGCATCTCCCTCATAGGACCTGTATGGAAGCATTTTTGGATTGTAGCCTATGTTATCGGAGATTTTATAGGATATCGAAGGATATTGTAGGACCCTTATATCACAAACCGAAGACCCCAAAACGCAAAAAGGCCCCGTGGGGTCAGGCTTGGCACCGAGACATGGAAGAGCTCTGCATTGAAGGGGATGCCGCTCGAATCCTTCAGCTGTAGATGCAGCGACCTGGTATGGACTGGGGACTTTTGGGGTTTAGTTTTGGGGGGTTTGGGGGTTAGGGTTTGGGGTTTAGGGTATAGGGTTTGGGGTTTACGGTTTAGGGTTTAAGGGTTTAGGGGTTTAGGGTTTTAGGGTTTGGGGTTTGGGGTTTGGGGCTTGGGACTTTTTGGCCTTTGCATTTGAGTCTGGGCTGCACCAGGTAAGGTGAGAGGCAGGCTGAGATATAGGGGTTTCCGAAAATAGGGGACCCTAATATAGTACCCTAGATAGTAGGATCCTTATTATAAGGATCCCAAAATAAGGTACCCTAATTTTCGGAAAGTCCCATGTAGGGCTTCACGGAGGGTGTCGGCTTCTGGAGCCTTAGGTAAGCATGAAGTCGGTTTGACGTAGGTGGATCTTTGAGGTTTGTGAGCTTCAACAGCCTAAGCCTTCATATACCCATTGGCACCCCTTTTAAGGCCTAAGTATATACCATATAGGCACATGGAGCCTTACGGACAGGAAGCATACCGCACATTCTCGGGCTCGAGTGCTGAATGCCGTCGTGACCAGCACCCTGCTCACGAGGAAAGATTCGAACATTAGCAATGCAGCATCATTGTGATTTCGCGAACAGAAGCAATCGTCTAGCAGCCACAACAGAATTATCCCTGAGTTTAAAATCCTTAGGTCAGATACCAAAACCCAACATCCTAAATGCACCCTTGCATTCACCTTGTAAATTATGCTCGCAAAGGGCCCGTCAAAAACTGTTGGGACCTTGTCAAACTCTAAACCCTAAGCCCCTAAACAATAAACCCCTAAACCCCAAACACCAAAACCCTAAA